AGGACCCATTTGTTTGTCTTTTGGGCTGTCCATGGAATGAATTCTCAGCACTATTCTGCAGCACCACATTTCAGATGAGTTGATTTTCCTTCTATCTTCTTTCTTGACTGTCCAAAACCTATATGCAGAATTAATCCAGTTTGAGACCACTTTAACTGCCCTGGATTTATGCTAGGGAATTCTGAGAACTATAGTTTTGTGAGACATTGAGCCTTCTCTGTCAGAGAGCTCTGGTGCCAGCAAAATAAAATAAAATAAAACTACAGTCCCTAGGATTCCCTACCAGTGAGCCAGGACAGTTAAAGAGGTCTCAAACCGGATGATTTCTGTAGGGTGTTTTGGACCATTAAGTCCACCAAGGCTCAAACCACTATACCCCAAAGGGTTTTAGCAATGGAAAACAAGAAGAAGAAGAAAAACTCTGAAGGAGGAAGAAGAAGGCAAAGCCTAGAAAGTTGGGCGGAGGGGGGAGGGCGGTGCTCGGTTTTTGGGGCTGGGCTGGGAGGAAGAAACCCGCCTGCTGCACCCCCCTTCTTTCCTCCTTTCTTTCCTTCTTTCTTTCTTTCTTTCTCCCGCCCTCCTTTTCCCATGGCTTGCAACTGAATGGAAAAGCGCAACCTCCCGACTTAGGTCCTCCTCTTCCTCGCCCACCTCAGGGGTCTTGGCTCCTCTCCTGAGGCCTCGCATTAACTCCCCCATAAGACCCCCAAACCCACTTCTTTCCTTCTTTCTTTCTTTCTTTCTCCCCACCCAGCCATCCCCAGCCATGTCTTCAGCCAAACAAAGGAGCCACAAAGGCGCGCCGTCGGACAAGGGAGCCCAAGATGACGTGGCAAAGAAGCAGCCGCCTCAGCCGACGCCGCAGCCCCCCAAAAGCGGCAAAGGGGGCTCCTATGGGGTCTCCGGCAGCCATGGCTCCTTCTGCAGCCTGGGCCAGCTGAGTTATTACTCCCTGTCGGTGCTTTTCCTGGCCGCGGCCGCCTTCTCAGGCTACCACCTCCATCACCTCTGGGGAGAAGTGGACCGGCTCGGCCTGAGGCAAGAAGGCTTCGCCAAGCAAAGGGAGGACCTGGCCAGCAGCCTGGAGAGCGCAGTGGAGAAGGTGGTAATGTTATTATTCATTCCTGTTATTTGATTCACTTATATCCCGCCTTTCCCCTCTGCTCTGCTTTGCTCAGGCTGGGAAGGGCAGCTATGGAAGAACTGGACAAAATCCTAAAAAGAGTAAAGCTATACAGCTGGACACTAAAGCCAGAATTGTCCAAGCCACTGTATTCCTCATCACTATATAGGGATGGAGTTCAAAGATAGAGATAGTAGCCCTGTTAGTCTATAGCAGGGGTAGGCAACCTTATTAAGCCGAGGGCCGGGTTGCTGTCCTCAAACAATTGGGGGGCCAAAGCACCAAAAATAAATGAATAAATAAATAAATAAATAAATACATAAATAAAAATTAAAAAAAATATGCATGCACACTCTCTCAGCCCCAGAAAAGCCATGGCAAAACCCCTGTGGAGATTTTGTCAAGAAAAACCCCAAAAACAAAGATACAGATAGCCCTGCTAGTCTGTAGAATCAGCATGTAGAGAGATCTTGTGGCACCTTTGAGACTTACTGAAAGAAGTTGGCAGCACGAGCTTTCCTAGACTTCAGTTTTCTTTCCTAAATGCATCTGAGGAAGCAGACTGAAGTCTATGAAAGCACATGCTGCCAACTTCTTTCTTTCAATTAGTCTCAAAGGTGCCACAAGATCTCTCTACATACCATGAATGGATGGATGTGAGAACAGTGGGAAGTTGCAGTGCCCCTCTGTTCTGCTTTGGTCAGGCTGGGAAGGGCAGTTATGGAAGAACTAGACAAAATCCTAAAGAATAAAGCCATACTGTTGAGCACTAAAGCCAGAATTGTCCAAGCCACAGTATTCCTCATCACCATGTTTGGATGGAGTTCAAAGATACAGCCCTGTTAGTCTGTAGAATCAGTATGTAGAGAGATCTTGTGGCACCTTGTAGAGACTCACTGAAAGAAAGAAGTTGGCAGCATGTGCTTTTCTAGACTTCTGTCTACTTCCTCACATGCAACTGAGGAAGTGGACTTAAGTCTAAGAAAGCTCATGCTGCCAACTTCTTTCTTTCATTGAGTTTCAAAGGTGCTACAAGATCTCTCTACATACCATGTATGGATGGATATGAGAGCTGGAATTAAGAAACAAGATAAGAAGAAACTGAATTCGTTTGTGATGTACACTCGTTCCTCCACATTTGCAGCTTTGACTTTTGTGGCTTTGATTATTCACAAATTTTATTAATATGTTCTCTCTAGGAATATCTAGGTCCTCCAGGGCAACTCTGTGGTCAACTTTAGCCAAAGGTTGCACTGAAGGACCTAGAGATTCCTAGAGAGAACACTCCACTAGGCATTTGTAGCTCCTCCAGTGCAATTCTGTGGTCAGTGTCTGGCAGATGTTGATCACAGAGTTGCACTGGAGGACCTAGAGATTCCAAGAGAGGTGTTCTCTCAGGTAAAAACACAGCGTTTTTGTTATTTGTTGTTTTTCCACATTTACAGGGGTCCTGTGCCCCTTACCCCAGTGAATGTAGAGGGACGAGTGTAGTGCTGGAGAAGAGTGCTAAGGATACCAGGTACAGCCAAAAAAAAACAAACAAATGGGGCCTAGAACAGATTAACTCTGAACTCTTCCAGGAAGCCAGTATGACTAAATGGAGGCTGTCGTACTTTGGCCACATCATAAGAAGGAAAGACTCATTAGAAAAGACAATGATACTGGGAAAGTTAGAAGACAGTAGAAAGAAGAAGACTCCATGCCAGATGGATGGACTCAGTCAGGGAGTTATTCCTAAAACACACTAAAGATAAAAGAGATGGTGTTCTACAGTGGGCCCTCCACATTTGCTGGAGTTAGGAGCACAGGACCCCCATGAAAGTGGGAAAAACCCACAAATAAAAAACACTGCTTTTTTTACCTGAGAGACCACCTCTCTGGGAATTGCTACGTCCTCCAGAATAACTCTGTGGTCAACATCTGCCAAACATTGACCACAGAATCACACCAGAGGACCTACAAATGCCAAGATAAGTGTTTTCTCTAGTAATCTATAGATCCTCTACTGCAACTCTATGGTCAATTTCCAGCAGAATCTCTCTGGAGGACCTAGGGATTCCTAGAGAGAACATATTAATCAAACCTGCAAATAATCGAAAACGCAAAAGTCAAAGCCGCAAATATGGAGGGCCAACTGTACAACTGAACACTAAAGTCAGAATTGTCCAAGCCATTGTATTCCCTATCACCAGGTATGGATGCGAGACCTGGACAGTGAAGAAAGCAGATAGGAATAAAATTAATGCATAGTGCCACTCTATTTTACTTTGGTCAGGCCTCACCTGTAATACTGCGTCCACTTCTGAGCACCACAATTCAAAAAGGATGTTGACAAATTAGAGCATGTCCAGAGGAGGGTGACTAAAATGGTGAAGGGTCTGGAAACCATGTCTTATGAGGAGAGATTTAGGAAGCTGGGTATGTTTAGCCTGGAGAAGAGACAGTTAAGAAGAGATATGATAGCCCTGTTTAAGTATTTGAAGGGGTGTCACATTGAGG